TCTCTTCCTCCCTCCCCCCTCTCTCTCTCATAAAAATCAGCTTTAAGCTGTGTGTTTAGTGTTTTGATTATTATGTGATGAGGAGACATTTTTTGTGTCCAGTCTATTTGGTGTTCTGTAAGCTTCTTGTACTTTCATAGGGATGTCTTTCTTTAGTTTGGGAAAGTTTTCTTCTATGATTTTGTTTTATATGTTTTCTGTGCCTTTGAGCTTGCCTCTCCTTTTTCTATCCATATCATTCTTAGGTTGATCTTTTCATGGTGTCCTAGATTTCCTGAATATTTTGTGTTATGAATTTGTTGGATTTAGCATTTTCTTTGGCCAGTGAATCTATTACCTCTATTGCGTCTTCCATGCTTGAGATTCTCTCTTTCATCTCTTGTATCTGTTGTTTATGCTTTTGTCCGTAGATCCTGATTGTTTACCCAGATTTTCCATTTTCAGAATTCCCTTGGTTTGTGGGTCTTTTTTTTTATTGCATTTAACTAACCCTGAGACCTGTGGAGGAGAGGGAGGAGCGGTAACATGAGCGAAGGGGTCAAGACCATGATGGGGAAATCCACAGAACAAGCTGATCCAAATTAGCTCACTGACTCAGACTGACAGCCAGGAAACCTGCATAAGACCCACCTAGCTGCTAGACAGTGGTGGCGCAGACCTTTAATCCCAGCACTCGGGAGGCAGAGGCAGGCAGATCTCTGTGAGTTCAAGGCCAGTCTGGTTTACAGAATGAGTTCCAGGACAGCCAGGGCTATAGAATGAGTTCCGGGATAGCCAGGGCTACACAGAGAAATCCTGTCTCAAAAAAAAAAATTCATTTTACCTACATGCATGCATATGATGGCCCTGGCCTTCTCCTTTCACTGTGTAGATCATCAGGCTTAGAGGCAGACACCTTTGCCCACTGAGACATCTCTATCCATCAATGGTAATTTCTGTCTTCTTGCTCAGCACCAAGGGTGGTGGGCAGAAGAGACTAGCTGGCCACCCTCATTCTGCTCACAGTGGGGCTCCGTGAAGAAACAGCAGCACTGGCTTCCACTCCATCCCCACTCAGAAAGAGACAAAAGGCAAGTGAAGTATGGGGTCCAGAAGGGAGGCAGGAGAGGCTACCTACAGAAGTCCAGGAAGGCTTCCTGGAGGAGGAGGGTAAGGTTGAGGGGGTGAGATTGCAGACAGGGTTTGGGGGTGTTGTGGAGGGACACAGATAGGGGGTGTAAGAGCAGCTACAAAAAGGACTGGTTCCAAGCCAAAGTGGACTTTGACACCAGATTCAGGCAGGCACTTGAATGTCAGCTGTAGGGCCATAGTGTTTCCCTATGCAGAGACTCCACAGAGGGATCAGGGCAGGAGAGGGGAGGTGGTGGCTGGTCACAAGGCCAATACTGGCAGACGCAGATGCTCCTGTCTGATCGCATGGGACTGGAGATGGTCACAGTTATCTGAGCCTCATTCAGTTTCATTCATTCACAGAGACTGGGAATGCCTCTGGAAGACTGGGAAGATGGGGTGAAGCCAAGAAGCGGGAAACGCTGGAGACCTCAGTACTAGCACTGTGGTTGCCACTCTTTGAAGGATTCTTAGAGGGGGCGGGAGCAAGAATTAAAAAGGCCAGCAGGCAGCCATCGTGTGACAACCAGACCCACCAGACACCAACGAAGACCAAGAGAAAGGATGAATCAGAGAGAAACGGCAAGATTAGGAGAATGCATGGGAGGAGACGTGTGTGAACCTCACCTTGCCGAGGGGGGATCTAAAGTCCAGGGGATTTGTGTGGCTGCTCCAAGGTCACACAGCTTGGAGGAGCTGAGATGCAACCTGTGTCTACCTGGATCTGAGCCCACCTTTCTACCTCACTCTGCCCCCTCTTCCCAGTGGGCTTTGGTCTCAGGGAGTGCTTCTCCGCCACCAAATGGGCTTTTCCAGACGGTAATGCACGTGGCTTTGCAGTATGCTAACTGGGCTGGGGACCTAAAAATGGAGTCCTTAGTGTTTATTAATTCAGGGCCTCTCCTCCTCATCACTGCCATGCTGGACCAAGTTTAATTTTCATCTTGTGCATGTGTCCCAGAGGACACCATGGTGGGCGTTGTTTCTCCCCTTCTAGAGTGTGGGTCCTGGGTATTGAACGCAGGTCATCAGCCTTGGCAGCAAGAACCATCTTGCTGGTTCCCAAATTTCTTCTTTCATAATTCTTTATTCTGGAAGGGTTGGTTCCATCAGTTGTCTAGAAAAGTCAGTGGTTTAGAGAGTTGGTACTCGGAAATACTCCAGTGCCCATCATTTCTATTCTCAGGGTTCTTAGGCTGTGGTAGAATTGTTTGAGCCAAAAAATCACAGACTTCTTATGTCTTTGAAGTCCTGATTCTCTATGTGGAGGTCATATCTGGCACCTGAATGCTTCTAGCATCTAATACACAACGTAGACCGCATCCAGGACTACCTAACACCTTCTAGTCAAGGGCCCATCCATCTTGCTTGGGAATTAGGGCTAAGGGGCCACTGTGCAGTTCCACAAATGACCACCAGGTGGCGATCTCCAACCACAGTTCTCACAAGGGACTCGCAGTAAGTAGCGGTGGCCTTCTGCAGTAGCGACTTTTGTTGGGGAGCCAGCATTTCGCATCCTGGCTCCTTATCCTGCACAGACGCTACAGTGATGCGAACGTCCCTCTCTCCATGTCTCTCTCTGTCTTCAAGCCTTGCTTCCAGCTGCTGAGAGCTGGGAGCTACCTATGAAACCAGTACTAGCTCTAACTGTGGAAGGGACTTCTGAGGGTTGGGCACTGGGGGTGGGGGAGTCTTAAATTATAAACAAAAACGGTGTGATCTTGGACAAGCTTCCTAACCTCTCTGCCTCGGGATCTTCATTTGTAAAATGGGATAAGACTGCCTTGCTTGTGTGTCTGTTAAAGAGAGACAAGGCCATGTCACACAGACGTTCTGTCAACAAGCTTCTAACACCATTTAGTTTCGTACAAGGGCAGTCAGAAAGAGGCTTGATGAAGGCGAGTGTCTTATTCAAATCACACTGGGAGAGAGTGCTGGATTTGTGTCTTATTTCCTGTTTCCTGACCCTCAATCTACTAATGTGGCGGCGGGGGTGGGGGTGGGGGTGGGGTGGGGTGTCATTCCTGTGGAGGTCAGAAGTCAACCCCAGGCGTTGTTCCCAAGCTGTTCACCTTGGTTTTGTTTGGTGTGTGTGTGTGTGTGTGTGTGTGTGTGTGTGTGTGTATGTGGGGGTGGACATGCATGTGCCATGACATAAGTGTGGAGGTCAGACAAGGAGGTCAGTCCTTGTCTTCTGTCTTGTTTGAGGCAGTCAGTCTCTCTTGTTTACTGCTGAACACAGCGGGTTAGTGACCCTGAAATGTCTCTATTCCCCGTCTCCCTTTAGGGGTGCCTCTGAGCCCAGCTCCTACCTGGGTGCTAGGGATCCACACTCAGACTGTCAGGATCAGACAGCAAACGTCTTACCCACTGCTCCGTCTCCTCGGCCACAGCCTTGTTTTTGAGGTGAGATTGTTCACTGAGACCTGATCTCACCACTTAGGCTCAGCTGAATGACTGGTGAACCCCAGGAATCCTCCTGTCTCCACGTCCCCAGGCTTGAGAATAAAAGTGCCAGCTCCCGTGCCCAACTCTTTCCTTGGGTGCTAGGGTGGAGCTGAGATCCTCGTGTCTTTGAGGGATGGGTTTAATGGATGAAGCGATTTCCCCAGTCCTGTTTCTGTTCACTGTTCTGTTTTCTTTTCTGCAGGGACAACTCAAACCTCTAGAAGACAGGGCAGACTACAGTGACATGTGGCTTTGACTGTAGTGAGCTCTCCCCAGGACAGGAAGGCCCTGCTGCCGCTGACTGGGCTCAGAGCTCCTAGTGAGAGCTTCCTTTGGCTTTGGAGGTGACCATCAGCATCTACCCTGAGCCATGGTCTTTGCCCTTCTGCAGCCAGATGCGATCAGGCTGGAATGTCAGAAGAACAGAACTAGTCTGGTATCAACCCTCGGGGGGACCAGAGAGCCATGAGACCCATCTCCCACCCCACAGGGAGCTGCTCTCCCAAGGAAGTCCGGACTCTATCACTTCACCCCAAACTGGGATCGGAGGTGGGGGTGTCAGAAGTATGATTCTACTTCCATATGCGCTAGGCTTTGGAGAAATCTCTCCCTCGTTTGCAAATAGAGAGAATTAAGTGACATTATTTGCAATGTTCTGGCTCCCAGGGTCCGTATGTATTTCTATCGTCTGTGGCCAAGGGAAGGCCAACATGGTGGGCAACCACTGCGAGGAAGGATAGTATCGAGTTCCCATGCTCACATTCGTCAGGGTGCCTTGGCACCAGTGCCCTCGTGGACACACCGGCCAGGACAGGCAGCCTCAGCTGTCCTCTGAAATGGATCTGCCACTTGCTCCCTGCCCCCAAGGCTGGTCTCATTTGCCACCTTCATTTTTAGACACATTCCAAACTTTTTAGTAAATTACAATGTTTGCCAACTGGCCGTCTGGGGCCCAGAAGAGCATATTTATAGCATGCTGGGACACTGCCATCCCAGAGGAGCCTGGTAAGAAACTGGGCCAGTGCTGTGTCCAGGAGTGGCATCCTGTGACCTGGGGAAGAATGGGGCTCCAGGGGCAGGATGTCAGTGTGGGCCTGGGGTCTGTGGAACATCAGAGGTTGCCTCCTGCTGTTTTGATGCAGGATGCTTTGGTGCAAGCTCAGTCAAGGCCAAAACACCACAGGGTCAGTTCTTGGTCATGGGGGTCACTACCACATCTCAGTTCATTCATTCATTCATTTTCTACCTCTCATGTTCCTTGGGACCTGCTTTCCTTGGAGGGTCGAGTCATCATGGCCTTGATTTTCCCTGTCTGTGCAGAGGGCGGTTGTAAGCTCCATGTGCCTCTAGTCACGTGTGTGAGGCCCCAGCCATGTCTATCATGCAGCAGGCGTGTAATAAATGTGTTTGTGTTCCCACCCTGCTCAGTGCTGGGTGCTGTGGCACTCAAGGGGAAAATGAAATACACGTGGTCTTCCTTGTCCAGATGCTGCCCCAGGCTGGGCGCCGGGATGCAGATGAGGCAAACCCAGGGTAGCAGCAGGCGATCCACAATTGTGCCACATGCTAGTTCCAGGACGGGCTCCAAAGCTGCAGAGAAACCCTGTCTCAACAAACAAAAACAAAAAACAAACGGCAACAACAACAAAAACCAAAAAGCAACAAACCAAAATAACCCCAAACCCTAGAAGATCTCTGGGCTCTCCTTACCCCGACTCCCACTGGGGTCCTGAGGCCTCCTCAGCAGTCCCTCCCCATCTCATGTTGTCCTTCTCTTTGTCACTTTGTTCTCTGCATTTTTCGTCACCAGTGATGCTGATTTTTTCATTAGAAAGGGAAATCTTTGGCTGGGGATATGGATCAGTTGGTAGAGCACTTGACCGGCATGCAGGAGGCATGCAGGAAGTATGCATGGGGTGTGCACGGGGCATGCATGAGGCTTGCATGGAGTGTGCATGAGGCATGCATGGGGCATGCATGAGGCATGCATGAGGTGTGCATGAGGCTTGCATGGGGTGTGCATGGGGCGTGCATGAGGTATGTGCCTGTAATCCTAGCACTCAGCAAGTAGAGGCCAGAGGCTTAGAAGGTCTGGGTCATCCTGAGTTACTTAAAGAGTTTGAGGCCTCAAGGCCAGCCTGGGCTACATAAGACTCAAAAACAAGACAAAACAAAGGCACAAAGCAAGATAATCAATAATCGCCAAGGCACAAATGGCCCAGCGTTGAGGGAGGGCAGGGTGGGACAAAGAGAGAGCAGATTAAAATGAAGAGTAGAGGCAAGGTTGGAGTGTCAGAGAGGTGAGGGGAGTCCAGACAGTGAGGGTCCCAGAGATGGGGGAGAGAAAGCAGGAAAATGAACGAGAAAGCCCCTAGTCTGTGAGTTTAAATGTGACTGACACCGGTGCCCTGGGAACAGATCCCTTTGTTCACACACTCTGTCTTTTTCCTTGGGCAACCAGCAATGGGCTCTTCTAGTAAAGCTCCAAGTCCTTCCCACGGGATCAGTCGCCACGCCCATCACCCCCTACCCACTGCTGGCTCCTGCTCTGGCCACATGCGGCTTCCTCAGGACTTTTGCACTTACTGTCTCCTCCCGAAATTCCTGGCCATGGATAATGGAGACAAGGAACGACTCAACTCCTAGCTTCTGGGTCTGTGCTTCTGGGGAGGGGCTCAGCTTTAGCAGGCTGTTCTCTCTGCAGCCATACTCAATGCTTCCCTCCCCTTCTGCTTACCCTGCCTTCCTCCTCCTATCACTGGCCAACAGCGTGCATTTCTGGTTGGCTTAGTCAGCTGAGACTAAAGCAATGCCGGGTAACAACCATCTCTAATATTCACAGGCCACAAACAGCAAACATTGGCTTTCCTCACTGGCAAGTTCACAGGTGGTCAGGGAAGGACAGCTCCAGATTGGGACTGGGCTTGGGTTCTATTCTTGTGTCTTTGCATTCTCTTTGGACCAGCTGGTCCCTAGCCACCAGCTTCTCAAGGAAACTGAATCTCGAAGCCAAAGTTTTGGGGGCCAGAATTAGGAGATCATCACATACCATTCTAAGTAGACCACAACGTCTCTCATGGCCATGGTCCATACTGAGAGCAAAGGCGGACTGTTGTGGAATATTCGCTGACACTGTGTTTGGCTTACTAAAGAGCAGGATGACCACTAGCTGGGAAGGAAGAGGTTAGGCAGGACTTCTGGAGACAGAGAGCTCTGGGAAGAAGCAAGGAGACGTCACCAGCTGGACACAGAGGGGACAGACGTGCAGGAGGAGAGACAAAAGCCACAGTCACGTGGGAGCATGTAGATGAATAGAAATGGATTAATTTAAGTTATAAGAGCTAGCCGGGTGGTGGTGGCGCACGCCTTTAATCTCAGCACTCGGGAGGCAGAGGAAGGCAGATCTCTGTGAGTTTGAGGCCAGTCTGGTCTACAAGAGCTAGTTCCAGGACAGGAGCCAAAACAAAAGCTACGGAGAAACCCTGTCTCAAAAAAAGATAGTGGGACAAGCCTACGCTCTTGGCCAAGTTTTTGATTTGGAGCTGGTGAACAGAGAAAGGCTCGTTACAGCGGACTCCACACTGCAGCAAGGGGGGAGAGGAGACGGTAGAGAATTTCCCTGAAAGACTGCAAGCAATGCCATCTCCCAGTAGAACACAAACGCCACAGGGCTGGGCCTGGTCTGTACCCCAACTTTAGTCCCCTTCCCTAAAAGAGAAGGTTTCTTGAAAGACCAAAAGGTGCAGTAATGACTTGCTGAATGCACACATGATTATCCAGTTATACTATGGAGACAGGTTGCCCGGGTCCTTCCAGGTCTGGGCCTGAAAGGTTGGGGGCCTCCAATCTCCCTATCATAACTCTCCTGTACCCTGAACTCTGGCAAAATATGAGGGGCCCTCCCTTGCTCCCTATCACCCTGCCCACTTGTTCTCCCGGCCCCAGGGACCCCGGCAGAAGCAGCCACCATGGGTCCTGGGGCCTCAGGTTTGCCCTTGCTTTGCAAACCGAGTTTCGCTGTCTCTGCCTGAACATGGAATGGCAGCCAACTGCAGGGTCCTATTACAGGGGCCAGGGCAGACGGTTACCTGGAACCCTGGCTGTTGAGGGGCTGGCCAGGCTGCACTGGAAGAAGGAAGAGGTGGCTATGAAGCTTAGTCTTAGCCAGTTGGTGAGAGCAGCCAAGTGTTCCAATTGTTACAAAGCATTGACCTTAAATGCCCCAAGAAAACGGCCTTGAATGACTTAGTGGGCTGCAGAGGGTTGTAACCGGAACCCTTGCTGCTTCCAGGTGAATAGGTACTGAGCATGGTACACTGCGGTACACACTACACACACCAAGGGAGAGGCTAAGGCCCTGGGGCAGAATGCTAGCGGGAATCTAGGAGACAGGACGGTCGATGTTTATATTCTTACAACTTTCCTATGCAATTGCAACGTCTAAATAAGTTTAATAAGGGAAGCCCAAACTGCGGATCCAGAGACAGCTCAGTGGCTGAAGTGTGAGGACCGGAGTTTGAATCCTCAGAACCACGTAAAACCAGACTTAGTAGCATGTGTCTATTATCTCGAAGCTTTCATGGCAAGAAGGGAGGTGGAGACAAAAAGACTCCCTGGAAGCCAGCTTGGTGTATGGAGCAGTGAATACCAAGCAGACTCTGTCACAAACAGAGTGGGAAGGGAGGGGCAGTGCCTGAGGCTGTCCTTCTGATCTCCAAGTGCGTCTCTCCACATTATCATACACCCCCCCACACACACACCACACACATACACATACCATACACATGTTCACATACATATGCGCATGTACACACGTACACACACATGCCCGTGCACACACACATACACACACACATACACACACATACATACGCCCACACGTACACATGCCCGCACATACACACATACACACCTACACACACACATCATACGCACAGAGTTAAAAAAAAACCCAACCAATTGGTGGGTGAAGCCCTTGGTATTTCCACCCAGAGAACAGAGCGCCCCTGCTTTGCCACACAGGGTTCCCTGCATCCTGTCCCCTTACCCAAGAACCAAGGCTTTGTTTGCCAAACATCTTGGGATGAGTTGTGGCCCCCTGATTTCACTGATTATGAATGTGCTTGTTCTCACCGCAAGGCAATTGGTGTCGACCGTGGCCTGCGGTGACCGTACCACCAACCACGCTCACCACAGCCTTGGGCGGAGAGGGAGGTGGGGGCCAGACAGAAAGAAGGCTGTGGAGGTGGCAGAGGCAGGAAGGCAGCCCTGCCACCGTCCTGTCTGTCAGCAAGAGAGGCAGCAGGCAAGCGGGGCATTGCTCAGGGCTGTCTCCTGACACTAGCGCTGGTCAGACTAGCGGGGTCAGACTCCCGGCTGACCTGAGGCCTTCCGTTCTTGAAGCAAGATCTCTGGCCAGACCTGTTTTTTAAAGGGCTTTATTTAAATAAACGTGTTTCACTGCACGATACATCCATTATTGTTACACCTAACTTTACACAAGCGGAACAAAGGTCACTGATGAGTGCAGGACGCCCTGGGACAGTTATTTAAATGAGCAGCTCCTGGGCATGTTTAAATGAGCCTCTTGGTTAGAAAAAAATATCGCCAGTAGTGTGGCTCTGAGCTGTCTGATAAAAAGCTGCGGCTGCTGACGCAGGGAGCCGCCCTAGACCCATTCAGCAGCTGCACCGCCCTAACAGCAGTTAGGGAATGAAAATGTCCGAAATGACACCCAGCAAGCCCCTGAGAGCACAGCAGGGTTCCCTGGCTCCTGAAAGCCTGCCCAGTCGCTTTCAGTAGTATCCCCCAAACTCACTGCCTTCTGTATCCTCCACCCTGAACCCCTCCCCCACACCATACCCTGGGATTGGTTCAGAGTTGCCTGCCAAGCCCTGCTCCCCTGAGACTAGGTTCCCATCACTGGGGTGGCCTGGGCAGCTGCCAGCCAAGAGTGTTAATTACTATGGAGTTGCGGGGGACCCAGATAGTCCCCCCACACCCATCCCCATTTCTATGTGGGAACCGAATGGAGCCACCCCTGGGTAAAAGGGTGTCAGCAGGCACCTGTTCACCCCTTGCTGGGTTCCCAGGCCCCTAGAGCCCCTTGTAATAGTAGCCATTTGCCCTGTAACCAGTGGGTGACCAGGTTTTTAATCTTGGAGACCCCTCAGATACCAGCTGGGAAGTGGGATTTGTCAAATGGGGAGGGAGGGCCTGTCTGTGAATGTCAGAGCCGATTTCAGTACAAAGGGGGTATCCTGGAGCAGTGCCCCATCCCCCTAACCTCCCCTGACCTCAAAGCCACTCGGCAGCGTGCAGTGGAAGCCTCCAGCATGACCAGACACAGCTGGCCTGAATCTGGAGCAGGAGCGTTAGCTCAGGTACCTGGCAATTTGAAGCCTTTCTTAGTTTGCCACTCACCCCCTCCTCTCAAGCCTCTTTTCTCCTCGCTGCCTGTCAGCAGCTGTCTGGCAGAGACCACCACTTGGCGGCTGAAGAAGCAGGTCTTCTCCCTCACTCACGAGTAAAGAGATCAAAAGCTGCGGACTCCTGTTATGTGGCCTCCAGTCGAGCCGCTCTTCTCATGGCCTCTGTACTGGAGGTCATGCTGACTCAGCACTTGCTGTCTGCCCAGCGTGCGTTCTGGCCTTGAAATGCCTGAGCTGACACAGGCTGTGATAATGACCCCGTGACCTCAATCTTCCCGTTCCCAGTGAACACAGGAGAAGATGCAGCCTGGGAGGGAGATCTGGGGCGGGGACCTGAAGCCAGGCCTCTCGTAGGTAGATCTTTCTTCCTAGGCTGCTACCACCTCTGAGTGATTACAAGAACCCCTGCGGTCTAAAGCGAAGAAGCAGAGATTCCGTAGGCAGATTCTCACGTCTTCTCCTTGGCAGTCAGACCCTGACTGTGAGTGACTCCCCGATATTATTGCTGCACACCGCTGTGTATGCGCCCCCAAGAAATACTCCACTCTCGGAGTATTTCTGTATACAGTCTTGCAGGGTGTCACCTCTTCTGAGAGCTCATCCTGGCGTACCTGGTGACCTCCCCCTGGGAGTAAGAATTCATTGCTCCCCACGAATGTGCGCGCCTCCGGAGGGGTTGCGCCCTCTGCTGGACTCTTCTCTCCTCAGCACTCAAAACAGTGCCTGGCGGAAGCCGCTGGGGAAGGAGATCCCTCAACCAAAAATGCCAAACCAACAACGCTCTGAAATCAAAAGCCCTTTTTGAATTGGATGTGACAGTTCATGCTTGTCACCCCAGCATTTGTGGGGCTGATCCACAAGGAATGCTATGAGTTTGAGCTACATACTGAGTTTCAGGCCAGCCTGGGCTACAGAGACCCTGTCTCAAAACAAAGCAAACAAACACCAAACCCAATGAAAACAAACAAACCAAAAAATTGTGTGTGCGCGGCGGGGCGGGGCGTGGGGGCGGGGCGTGGGGGCGGGGCGTGGGGGCAGGGATGTCACTCAGAAAGTTTTCAATTTCAAAGCACTTTAGAGTTTGGGTTTTTAGATTAGAGAAGGTGGTCAGAGAATAGCGTTATGCAAAAAAAAAAATTAAAATCAGAGAAGCTGTAAAAATACTTCTGGGCCGCCAGCACTTTGGGTAAGGGGCACTCAACGCGTGTCTGTGTAGACTTGCTGAGTGGACAGTTGACTGACACCGTGATAACAGCATCTGCAAATCCCCCCAGAAAACAAAGACCAAGGATGTGGCTCCATTGCTTTGTGCTTCCCTAGCGTGTCCAGAGCCCTGGGTTCCATCTCTGGCACCACAGGTCCCTGTAATCCCAGCTCTTGTGCTGTGCAGGCAGGAGGATTAGCTCAAGACCATCCTTGACTACCTACGGAGTTTGAAGCCAGTTTGTGCTGTGTTAGACTCTGTCTTAAGATACACCCACTTTACTACAGACTAACAAATGAGACACAAAAGTTCACTAATTGCCCCACATCCTATAGTCTTGATTTATATTTCTGCCTCTACTGCAGAATGGATCTGGGGCTCTATGGGTCCAAAGGGCTCTGTGACTCAAGGGCAGGTAAACTGAGCTTGGCCAGGCGCTGACATCCACAGACCCCCTCCCCAGGACCAAGCTATTGCTTACTGTGACCAAAGGGAGCAATGCTGGGATCCCACAGAATCCCCCAGGCCAGAGACCCAGATCCTTCCCCCTTCAGGGGAGGTGACCTCCGTTTTCAGGCACTTGAAAATAAAAGTCAAATTAAAAACAAAACCAACGTGTTCTGCCTTAAAATACCGAGAGCCAGGGAAGCGATCGGCCTCAATGCCGCATTTTATTATGAGACAGAATTCAAATTGGGCTGGTTTGGGTTCTACACACCTCCACACATTGTTTGGGGAATTAAGGGATCAGTTGTATTGGTAATTATGGTTTAGCATTCAATTACCCCCCTCACCCCAGTTGAAAACCGTTAAATTGTCTGTGACAGGGCTTAAATTTAGCCCAGTCTCATGTCCTATGAAGACTTCACGAGTCAATACAAGCCATCCGGAAACCACAAGGTCCCTGTGCCAGCTGGTAATGACCGGTTGGGTTGAGGTTTTTTATCTGGGACAGTGGGACAAGGGACAAGCTGACCCACAGGGCATTCGTGGTGGGGGGGGGGGCATTGACCTACAGCACACAGTTCCTAGAGCCTGCCTGGCCTGGCTAGTCCTCAACCCAGGTCTCAGCGGGCATCCAAAAAAAAAAAAAAAAGCCAAGATTCCAGCTGATGGGTGGCAACTGACCTGGAGCTCAACAAGGAAGCAGCTCTGGGGTCATGAGTAACACATGAGGCTTGAGGACACTGCCATTGAACACATTTGTGTTTGAGTCCCTGCCTCGCACTTATTGCATGAACTAGGATGGACAACAATATTAATTAATTAATTAATTAATTCCATCCATCCATCCATCCATCCATCCATATGTCTGGCAAGGCTGGAGATGAACCCAGGGCCTCGAGATCGATAGGCAAATATTCTAGCATTGAACCACATCCCCAGCTCTCGTTTTGTTTTCTATTTTGAATCAGGGTCTCACTGCACTGCTGAGTGAGACTGCACTTGTCATCTCCCTGCCTCAGGATTCCCTGGCCCTGGGATTATAAGCGTGCAACACCAGACCTGGTTCACTTCGTTTCTTTCAGCCTCTGTCTCTCTCCTCATCTGTTAGACGGTGACACCACATGCCTCACGTATGTGCTATTCGCCGTGAAGACAACAGAACAAGATGACGGACGTCTGTGGTACCCACAGAGCGCATCAATCACGTGCGTTCATTCGAATGGCGCTGGTGAACCCATGCATCAGGCAGGTTCTGCATGGAGAGAGCGGTGGAAGGGCAGCATGGGTCCCCACTCTGGCCAGCTGAAGAGAAGTCATTTGTGCTGGGAAGGGACAGAGTCTTAGCACCCACAGGCCTGGGTGTACTCTGCTCATCCTGGTCTCCAGGAACCCACAGAACAAACACATTCCCAGGGATATTCCCAGCCTGGAGTCCCAGGCCTTAGGACCTGCTGTAGTCACAGGCATGCCTTGGAACTTCCATGAAACAGAAAAAAGAAAATTTCCTGTTCTTCAAGATGATACAGGTGTCAAAGGTGTAGATCAGTTGGCAGGGTTTGCCTACTATGTCTGAAGCTCTGGGCTTGATTCCCAGCATAAGGGTGGTGATGCTCCTGTAATCCCGGCACGTGGAGGACAGGTAGGAAGGCCGGGAACTCAAGGTCATCCTCACCTACATAAAAAACTGGGGACTAGCCTGGGCTACATGAGACTCTCAATAAATAAATAAAACATAAGGTCAACAAGTGCCAAGTTATTAGGGTGCCAGGGGATGAATACGGGATGCTTTATCCCCAGTCCGTGGTCTTTATTACCCCTGCATCTAGACCAGGAGACTAAGGGCCAGCACTGGTAAGTACTTTCTGAGATTGAAGTCCGTATATCCTTCTGTCTCAGCCTCAGGTTTTCTAGGGTACGCCAAGCACCAGCATCTAGGGGTTACAAGCTCCCAGCTCCAGGGATCAACAGACAATGCCGGTCTAACTGTATGTCCGTCTGGTCTAACTGTCCAGACTTCTGAGATAGGAGCAGGATCTTGTGACCCTGAAGAATTCAGAAGTCATCACGTGCTCTGAGGTTCGGGGACAGGTTTCTGCTTCTGCAGTTTCTCAGCTATAGTCATGGCCCCTCCCCCACTCTGCAGCATTCCACAGTCTCTGAAGCCGGATTCAAATTCCACTTTATCTAAGAAGCCTTCCTGAGCGCCCCACCAGCCCTCCATCCCCTACCCCCAGTGCCAGGGGTCAGGCTTCTCCTTCCTGTGAGCCACAGTCCCTGCTGTCCTGACCCTCGCTGTCCTCTGCTTTCATAACCACCAGCAGGGCACTGTGCTGGTCCAGGGGGCAATCACGGGTGTGTGTTAAATGAATCAAAACCACTTGTCCTCTCAACAAACTGCGTGCCCACTCCATGCCCCAAGATAACTCTTAGCGTCCCTCAGTCCCCTTGGGCTAGTCTCCCTGTGGGGGATGAGACCTCTGGGTGCCAAGGATGTCATAGCTAGGCACTGTCCTGTGAGTGAAGGGGGCAGAGAGTGGAGAAAGAAGCCTGCATGAAGTGCAGTCCAAGGGGGCGACAAAGGCCAGGAGAGGAGCAGGGGTGCCTCCTTCTTCTCTGGTTCAAAGTCCTGAATCTAACTTACTAGCTGTGAGGTCTTACGCAAGTTACTTAACACTGATCCTCAGTTTGCAAATTCACCAAATAGAGTTTGAAATAAGGCCTGACAGCATACACCTGCAATCCTAGAACTCAGGAGGTAGAGACAGAAGAAGTTAAATCCTCCACCCCGTGTGTGTGAGCATGTGTGTGTGTGTGTGTGTGTGCGTGCGTGTGTGTGTGTGTGTGTGTGTGTGTGTGTGGTGTGTAGAGTGTATATATTATTGGGGAATTGGGTGAATGGAAAAGGCCAGACACAGCCTCAGCCTTTATTAAGTTAAGGAGACGTTTTAACTGCTTGTGATGATTTGAATAGGTATGGCCCCCATAGACTCACGAGTTTGGATGCTTGGTCCATAAGGAGTAGCACTATTAAGAGAGATGTGGCCTTGTTGGAGTAGGTGTGGTCTTGTTGGAGAAAGTATGTCCCTGTGAGGGTGAGCTTTGAGGTCTCATATGCTCAAGCTACATCCAGTGTGGGAGACAGTTCACTTCCTGTTGCCTGGGGATCAAGATGTAGAGCTCTCAGCTCCTTCTCTAGCACCATCTCTGCCTGCTTGCCACCATGCCCCACCATGATGATAATGGACTAATCCTCTAAAACTGTAAGCCACCCCAATAAAATGTTTTCCTTTATAAGAGTTGCTGTGGTCATGGTGTCTCTTCACAGCAGTAGAAAACCTAACTAAAACATTGCCTTTATTGCATTCCTCAATGCTCCACGTCACTAGCACAGACTGCAAGAGCCTCTTCCAGCCTACTTTTGCACTCTGTGACCCAGCTATGCCAAGCAGCCATGATGGCCTGCCTGCCTTACTCTGATTTCCATTGCTGTCACAGAATATGTGACATTAACTGTACCAATTACTTGTGTCTTGCTGGGATAAAACACCATGACCAAGGCAGCCTATAGAAGAAAGAGTCACTGGATGTTGTGGTTCATGTCCTTTATC